GAGTAATGGTCGGGCTATCAGCTGTATACGTTTAATGAAAGACTCGGCCAAGCCGTTCTGTGTATGTACATGTGCCACGGAATGTTCCACACTTATTCCCATGGACATACAGTAGTCATTAAACGTCTGGGATGTAAACTCACCAGCATTATCTAGACGTATAGTCTTTAAAGGAAAATCTGAAAAATGTGCTCTCAATCTAATGATCTGAGCTAGCAACTTTGCAAAGGCCATATTCCTTGTGGACAATAAGCATACATGCGACCATCTGGTCGATGCATCTATCAAGACCATGAAATATCTAAACGTCCCACTAGGTGGGTGTATTGGTCCACATATATCTCCCTGAATCCTTTCCAGAAAACTTAAATTTTCCTTAGTAACCTTAACTGGTGATGGCCTGGTTATGAGTTTCCCTTGTGAACATGCATCACATGTGAGATTATCCGGGACAACTCCTTTGAACTTGTGCCCTCTAGAGTTCAAGATCAGTTTCCGCATCATGTTAGTACCAGGGTGGCCAAGCCGGTTGTGCCACAGTTTAAAGGCCTCGCAGGCATTAACCTCGACCATACTGATCTTTGCAAGATAAAGACCAGTAGCAATTGCAGGTATTGTCTCTAACACTTTCTTAATGCCTTTGGTGATCAAAACAATATTAAGGAAATCTTTCATTCCTTCTTCCCATGTTTCAAGGTGTAAACCATTCAATCTTATATCCTTGAAACTCAACAGATCCCGTTTGGAACTTGGGGAATACAAGGCATCTTTAATCTCAAGCTGAGTGCCTCTAGGCAATAAGATATAGGCCTGGCCGTGGCCCTCTAAAAGATTGGCCACGCCTGCAATAGTGTGTATATTGGCACTTTGCATTGTAAGGTTCACAAAATACCGTTTGTCTTTAAGTATAGTATGGCTGGAACCACTATCAACCACANTCCATAACAATCATCAAGCAATCATTCTTTAAAATAAAAACACCAATAACATAAATATTAAAACTAAAATGTCAATCTGATTAGTCCTTTAGACAATCAGCAGTCTCATAATCCATATCAGTTTTCTCAAGCTCCTCATCATCATCAGCCTCATAACCGGAACCATGAACCATGTGGGCCTCCGGGTTCTGGTTCTTCATTTTCTCTTGATATAGCTCAATTAGATGCTTAGGAATTCTGCATTGCTTCTGGAAGTGTCCAGTGCTACCACATCTGTAACAGACAGATTTGGTCGAGTGAGAAGGCTTGCTCGAGCCACCTCGGCCTCGGCCAGTTCCTTGGCCTCTCCCACGGCCGTAGCTGGAACCACGACCACGGTTATTGTGGTTTCCAGTCCTACGGTCGTATGGGTGCTGGTCTCGACCACTACGCCCCTTGAACCCACCACGGCCTCGACCGTGTGGTTTCCTATCACCATGGGCGTAGTTGGATTCCTTGGTCGGATCTTGCTCGACCTCATGAGCTTCCGGTACGGGTGCTGAACCTGCTGGTCTAAGGGCATTGTTTCTCATCAACAATTGGCTTGGCCTCGGCCAAAAGCAAGACTGCAATCAGATCATCATATGTGGGGAACTCTCTAGTTCTATACTGTTGTTGCAACACTGCATTAGAAGAATGCATAGTAGAATATGTCTTATCAAGCATATTCTCCTCAGTCACAACATCACCACATAGCCTCAACAAAGACACAATTCGGAACAAGGCCGAATTGTACTCATCCACGGTCTTAAAGTCCATGAATCTCAGGTTCTTCCATTCATCTCGAATCTTTGGGAGTAACACCGTTTTCTGGTGATCATAACGTCGCTGTAAAGCGTCCCAAAGTTCAAGTGGATTTACCATAGTGAGGTACTGATTCTTAAGCCCTTCCACAAGGTGGTGGCGTATGATCTGAATTGCCTTATACTGGTTCTTGATAGGCTTATTATTGCCTTTCTCAATGGTATCACCAAGGCCCCTAGAGTTTAGATTGATCTTAGTATCAAGAGCCCACTGCAGGTAGTTATCTCCAGAGAGATTAAGAGCTGAGTAGTCAAGGTTTGCAATCTTAGACATCTGAATCACATAAACCACACTCATTAGGGTTTTATAAAACTTGTGATTTCTTGACTACTTTACAACCACAAACTAAACCATACTTGTAATTACAATGACCATTGTGAAGACAAACAAAACACACCATTATGGTCACTCAAAACTCATATGGTTCAGCATTGGTCGGAATGGGTGAGATGACATCAAAAACATATGCTGGTCGGTTTTATTAAGCAATATGAATGCAACCAAATTCAACAATATGATGCAATTCATAAAATCATTCATTCACACAATTAAACAAAATCAAACATACTAAATCTCCCCCTGATTTTATTAATTGTGGTAATTAGGGTTTTCAAATCCCTTAGGTCAAATTTAAAATCAAGAAAAATTAGGGTTTTCAAGGCCCCAAGAACATTAAAACAGGCGGCTAAGGTAAAACAATCATACAATCAACTTTTAAAAATTTTAAACTTGAAATCAGAGTTAAAACTTTCATAAAAATTATTCAAAGAAGTTTTAAAAATTCTTAAAACTGGTTTTAAAACTTTTGCAATCATAAAAATCAGTTTTCTTAAAAAAAAACTTTTTCATACAATCAATCTTAAATCAAATTAGGGTTTAAGGTTTCAAGGCCATATGATCTTAAAAAGGTTTCAAGGCCTTTAGGATTTAGGTTCTTAAATTAAACAATCAATCTAACAATCCTAAACCTCAAATAAACAATTTAAACAATCAAAAACAAATTAAAATCCGATTTTAGGGTTTAGGGTTACAATTCCATAAATTAGGGTTTTTAAATTCTCAGATATGATCACAAAAACAATCAAACAAAATTAATTTGGAATTGATTTCAAGATGAGGGTGATAGAAAGGTAGAAAGAGAGAATCAAATTCTAGTTCATTCAAATTTTAGGGTTTAGCAAAATATTCTTAAAATCTATGGTGATTGTTTCTATGTCCTCAGATTAATGTGTATACCTTTTCTTTTACAGATTAAAGGAACCGGACCACCAAGAACAGGAGAGAAGACCGCGAACGGATCATCGGGTCGTCTAGGGTTCTTGGACGAGAAAAAGGAAATTCTCTGGCGGCTGGTACGGTTGGTTCTGCTATCGGCTAGGGCTTCCTCCGGGAAAAAGGAAACTTGGTCGATGGAGAAAAGGAAATCGGGTGAGGCGGCTGGTCGGGAAAAGGAAATCGGGTTGGGAACTCGCCGGGTAAAAAGGAAACTCGGCTAGGGTTCCTGGTCGGGTAAAAGGAAACTCGGGTGGAACTCGCCGGGAAAAGGAAAACGCGGGTGGAGGCTCGCCGGGGAAAAGGAAAGATCGGGTGAGGTTCTTGCGGCTGGTACGGATGAGAGAGAGAGCTCGATTAGGGTTTTGCAGATTTCTTTGCTTGAATTACCAGAGCAATTCGTGTTGATAACGTGTTGTAAAGAATGGTGAAATCTGTGTCTTATTCATGCTTTAGAGGTTCCATATATATATGGGATACAAGAACAAGATAAATGGAAAACGTCCAATTCCTAAAGTAACAAGGAATTGGAAATACATAGAAAAGGGAAAAGGGCTGGCCGCCTAGACTAATGGGTCACACGACCATTGGGCCAGTCCTAATCTATCTAATGGTTATGGTGCATCCACTTAACACTTCATAACATGGATTACGTAATTGATTTATTTAGTTCGCTTACAATCAACAATGTACACTGCTCATGATTTTCTTAACTGGGAAAGTAGATAGTTTGTTTAAGGCTATAATAAATGCTTTGTAAATCCAGTTAGACATAGTGTTCATCATTTTTCTACTGATTTCTGTAATTTTTTGCAATATTGTATGTTTTAGTTGTTCCCTTCGTAGCAAAATAAGTCCGAACCTAAAAAACAATCTTTCAAAAAATCTTTGAAGTCCAACTTTGTTGGCAATCCATGGATTAATCACTCGGCCAGGAAGCTACATATTTCAAGCATTGCTTCTGGTTGGCAACTCTATCACCAAAACTTAAAAACCTTTCATTTGCCATTTTTGACAACATAAGATATTTTTCTTCGAATTTTGTTATAAACCCTAGCTAAATGCTAATAAATGTATGCGATGGTGTAAAGTTTTTTTTTTTGAGAAAAGGTGTAAAGTTTTTTTTTAACTCACTGGTTAACAGTTAATTTAGGTAGCATTATACATGTTCGGATAGTAGACATTTTCTTTTGGTAAATAAAACTGGATACTTTGTAATTTGTGACAATTAACGTCAGTATTTTACCATGGATATTTTTCTTCGGGTTTTGTCATTAACCCTAGGTGACGTATGAGTCAGACATTGTCTAAAGTTGTTTAATTCACCTTTCAAGAACTAAGTTAGTTACAGTTATATAGCTTTTCATTTTGAAGGGTACTTATACTAAACATAGAAAAATACCATGCAAAAGTAGATAAAGATCAAGAGTTTTTCTGGAAACGAAAGCCCTAACGTCTGAGGAAAGCGAAAACTGTTGGTTCCATTGTTTAAGCAAAAAAAACAAAGAAAGCAGATAGGTTCCATTTCACCGGAGCAACACACGATTACAAAGTAAATCCCATAACATGTCTTAAAATTGGAAAATAAAATAATTTAATACTACAAGCAACGAGAAGACTGAGACAAACACTATCAACGGAAAGCAAGCGCGAAGAAGAGCAATAGATGCTGCCAAACGGAACTGTATACAACCTGAGACAAAAGGAAACGAAAAAAGAAACCACAATCGAGAATCAAACTCTTAACAACCTAATCTTCAATTTAAATAGTCTAAAACTCGAATTTCAAACCCTCATAAGAGATTTAGCTTTATTAGAACTGGCTATGTACCAAAAAGCAAAAGAAAACTGCTTCATCATCAGTTTATCAAATAGTTCATTCAAATATTTCTGAACATTTTATTCATCTAAAAAAATAATAAATGTCTCATAATAATTAAGAGTTAGCTAGTTCTCAGGATTTGGAGGGAAATTGAGATCGAAATCCAAGGGCACGCGTGATGGTCTCTCCGGACTACGATCCATCACCACAGATGACGCTTCCGACTCCTCGTTCACCATCATCCCAGACTTGACCTGAATCTTCGGGAAAGGGACCCTAGTTTCAAGATTATTCGTGATCCTCGAAGATGATCCGATGGTGCCGTTTAGGTTTGGACTCTCGTTGTGGACAAAGAAATGTCGAGGGAAATTGGTTTTGGCTTTTGCGCCACGGAAAGCGACAGCGGCTTTGTCGTAGGCACGAGCCGCTTCTTCGGGAGTGTCGTAAGTGCCGAGCCAAACTCGAGACTTATTTGTGATCTCGGCGGCGTAACGACCCCATGGCCTCTTTCTCACTCCTCTATAACGGTGTTCTTTCTTTCCACCGTCGCCGTTATTAGTTTCCACGGCCGCCGTTTTACCTTTAGGCGCCATTCAGAACTAACAAAGGGAACTCAAGAGGTTATGTTTGTGATGTTTGTGAGGGAAGAGAGGTTTATTAATACAGACAGCAATGAAGAGTCAACCGCGGTATTGAGTGGCAGTTTTTTCGTTAATATTATTAGCAACTAAGTGTGAAGTGTGAGTGAATATGCTTTTTATTGGGTTTTTTCCTAGAATGGTTTTAATGTTTTTTGTCTATTTATTAATTTTGTATTTGCAAAGTTATATTTAATATTTTAATGGCTTATAGTGGTTTTTTCTCATAAGTTTGTTTTTCTTCCTCTATTGGTAAGCATACTGCAAACAGACACAATGTGGCAATAATTATAGTTGATCTGTTGAATAGATTTCTGAATTAAATATTGTAAATAAGGTGTTTAAATCATTATAATCATTGTTTAAATATTTTTATCAGCTAAATAAATATTTACTATACACTTTAAGTACATTGGGATTTTCATAAGTACATTTAGAATTCATATACTTAGAAATTTATTTTTAAAAAAATTAAAAGCATCGAAAAATCCAATATAAGCCATTATTATTTATGTAATATTTATTAGTCAATAATGGTGAGTTGTAAATTTCAAAAAAAAAAGAAGAAGAGATTTACCTTTAAAATACGACTGGCTTAAAATCATACCAAATTGGTTAATACCAAAAATTAATACATTATTATCTTTATTTATAATATTTTGAAAATACGCAACAACACATAAACATACATCGTTTAAGAACATAGAGTGTATTAAATTGCTTTACTTTGTTATTAGAATCCTGGACTTGAATTGTTTTGCTTAAATTAAGTCATTTACTCGCATTTTGGTATTTTAAACATCCCAAAAAATTGGCACCTCACAACTACAATGACATAGCTGAGACTTACAACTGAGTAGAGTGAGAGATAAAATTATGGGCCATTTACCAAAAATAATCCAATTATTTGAATGCAAATATATATCCAAAATTTAATCAAATGTATAAGTAACCTAAAAATGTAGTAAAATTATAACTATCATGTTATGACTAAACAAATAACTATAGACACTCTTACAATTATAAAATTAAGAAGTCTTCACAAGACAATGAAGCCTTCTCCGAGAGGATAACTCAAAAATTCTACTCATGTATTTAATCTTAAATTTTGTTTACAAGATTTTGAAATTTTTTTTGATGAAAATTAAATTAAAATGGTATAAATATAAATAATTCCAAATCATGTAAATTTAAATGTAATAAAATTAATTTTTTTCATATAGATGGGTGAATATATATTGTAAGTCATGATTGTCTACTGCTATTTTAGGGTTAGATTTTGGAATCTTAAATATATTTTTGAAATTAAAATTTGAAAATATATTAAACATTTTATAAGTTGAATTTATGTTTAATGAAATGTTATTTTATTTAATTAAACTATTTGTAGTGGACTTCTTCAAAAGTCTACCAAGGAGTCTTTTAGAACATAAAGTAGATTTAGTGTTTAGAGACTTCTTTAAGATCCTGCTTAACTGTAAATGCACTATCAAACTTCTTGAGAATTCTGCTAAACTGTAATGCATTAGAAGATTTATTGAGAAGTATTCTATACCAAATTTTTTAATCTAATTGGAATTTTGTCTACTTATATATAGACAATTCACACATTCCTTTCTCTCAAATTGATGCAACCAAAATGTAATGTTTTTCTCTTTAAAACTCTCTAATCTCTTTGAACTTAAAGACACCAAATTTTATATCAGTTTCTCGTCTCATGTCTATCTCACCACACTATATTGTTTTTGCAGCTTGTTCTTTATATGGTTATCACCTGCCCTCTATAAAAGGGTAAATTTATTAATTTTAGAATGTATTTTTGTGTGTTCGTAGGGTAGATTTGGATAAAACTATATATTCAACCTAATATGATTCTTTTTTTTAAGCATAAAATGTTCTATTTTTGAATTCTTTCTTTATTTGAAGTCATTTTTAACGTTTGTTATTATCCGAGGACAATATACCGGACTTAAGACTTTATTAGAAGACTTCTTTGACTTATCAAGAAATCTGCTAAACTGTAATGCACTAGCAGGTTTCAGGAGACCAATGCTGATAATATTTTCTTTTTTTTTTGACCAATGCTTGTTACGTTTTTGTGTGTTACATCCAAGTAAAGAAATAGATTTAACTGAATGTGATTGTTTTCTTATAATTATTTTAGCTTAAAAATTGTATTTTCATAGTTTTATCTTTCTTTCTAAAAAGTAAGATGTAGATGTTCAATTTTTGATATAGTTATTTCTTTTAGATATGTTATAATCAAATAAAAATATAAACTAAAATTCATTGTGATTATATATGTTTTATTATTATTATCATTGTAAATTTTTTAGTTTCAAATAATATAGTGTATATATTTTTGTGTGTTAGATTCAAATAAAAATATATTAAATTTATTGTAGTTCTATTCTTTTTATTTAAGCTTAAATCTCTGTTTAAAAACGTTTAAAAAAACTTTAATATGTAGATTTCTCATATATGAGGACTATTTATCGGATTTCATTAGCAGATTTCTTGAGTAGACTTCACCGAAGAAGTCTGCTAAACTAATATTTAAGTGAAAACTAAAAATTTTAAAGAAATTTGACTGCGTATTCTGAGAGTTTGGTAAGATATAACGCACTAGCACACTTCCTAAAGAAGTCTTTCTAAGGGCTCTTGAATATTTTGGACACTTGATGTTCTCAATCATGTTTCAGTTTGAGCTATTGAATATACAATGGAAAAATATGTATGAGAGAGTCTCTTGTTTGTGTAGTTTATATAATGTTGTAAATAATACATCCATTTTCTCTGCAATCTAATAAAAAATTTTTTCTAATGATTTGTTCATTCCTTCAAATTCTTGTATCCATAAACTATTGGTCTTTTTGAATCATTTATTAAGATAGTGGTCGTGCAACTTAAAAGGAAGGCTTATGGGTTGTTTATTAATCAAATTTGGGTAATATGGATGATATTGATGATAACGAGTTATAGTATTACACACACATTTTAATAAAATAACACATGACACAAACTCAATATAACAAAGTTCAACATATCACATTTTTAGTATCATATAAGTTATTCAAACACAAAAATAATACATCTGTTTAAACATATTACATCGTAAATTTTAAGAAAATATTTATGCATCAAACTTATATAGTAGGCTTCTATAACTGAACCAATCTGCAAAAAAATACACTAAAATACATTATAAAATATATAAATAAAAAAATCCTTTGAAGATGTATGCCCTCATTGTTATAATTAGCTAGACACATAAATAAAATAAAAATATTGCTAACCTCATCATTTTATACAATAAAATTACAAAATCCATTCAGGAGGTTCAAAATTGATAAATAAAAAACAAGAAAAATTTTAAAAATTCATTTTACATTTGGAGAAAAAGTAAGTTTATTTAAATTAGCGGAGAATACTTCTTGAGAGTATACTCTTAGAAAAATTCTCTAGATGTCTCATGTTTAGGTTATTTTTTTGCATTTAAAAATTAACAAAAGAAGACCTCAATTAGCAGACTTCTTGAGAAATATTCATTTGTAGATTATTTGATTAATTTGTATTGAGATAAATTTCCAATTTTACAAGAGCATACTTTTCTAGAAGTCGTGTCTGATAATCATGTTAATATTTTAATCAACATAAATTTTGCAGAAATTTGAATTTTTCATAAAAGAATTCTTCTGTGAGTAGACTTCTGGAGAATTCTTTTTACTGTCACATGAAGCCTTGGAAATTTCGGAAGTGTATGCACAAGTTAATTTTGCAATTGATCATAAGAAGTCTACTCGTTTTTTTTTGTTACAAATAAAGGGTAGAGAAATATTTTATGAAAAAACTCAAAAAAATAATCAATTGCAAAACTAACATATGCATTGGCTATAAGACTTCCCTTCTCGGTGGAGCAGATTTCTAAAGAATTCTTCTACACGAAACAGATCTGAATTCTTTTGAATATCATACATATATCTAGTGATAGTTCATGCTTCGCTTTTACAAACACCCATAATTTCTTAATGAAAAACCTTCACTCGTTATTGATCAAGAAGCATGAACTTAAGTAACTTCAATGGAAATCTAATTTTTAAATATAAAAGTTTGAGTTTTGGGATGAAATGAGAGAGAAACTAAAAGATAAAATATTTTTTTTGTATAAGAAATGAAATATGAAGAAGTATATATCGATTTCTAATTCATTTAGAGATTGGTTTTGATTGTTAATGGTGATTAGTGAATTGATGATAATGGTAATTTCAATGAATACATCATGAAGATGAGGATGATTAAGCCAAAATATTATATTTCATTAAAAGAAAGGAAAAAAGTTAGTAACATTTTCGTAAATAATTTAAATGTGAATTGCTCAAACTAAAAATTCAAAAAAATAATAAATATTTTGTGTTTGACCCCACGTTTTCAGATTTGAACGACGCCATGAAATTATCTACATCAAAAACCAATCATGTTGTATTTGATGAAATAAATACAGGTTCTATCATGCTGTTTTAAGTTAACCAGCTGTTATAAAATCAAATAATATATCTAAAATCATGATTGGAAAATATATAAGTTGGGATTTTGTATACTTGTGTTTTCATGATTAGCGATTTTTGTTCTTCTTTCATGGGAATGTACGATTGCTACAACTGTGGCTTAATTTTTCTTAACACAAACAACGAAGCTCGTTTTAAAGTGAATAGATAAAACTGGAATTGGATGTTCTGATCTTTACAAAGATCACTTCTAACAAGTGAAGGTAATTGGGAGTTACCCTGGGTTCAAGCATTTTCCTTTGATAGGAGTCCATGGTAAAATATAGATTTTGCTTGGTTACAATTTATACGGTTAGAATCTTTATAGTATAAATAAGTCAATCTTTAAAGGGTAAACTAATAAATACAACGTGATCTTTGTGGCAAACTTCAAAAACATTAATATCCATAGTAAAAATAAGATTTATTTTATGGATTACCAGGAAATGATAAGTTGTCCGTAATTTGTCTAGACAAGAATTCTTTTATTTGGCATTTTATGATATAAGATATTTTCTTTGAATTTTTTCATAAATCCTAGCTAGACATGTATGGCATAGTATAAATTTTATAATCATCAGTTAACAATTAATTTAGTTAGGCTATACGGATTCTAAAAAAATCGGTAAATCAAATTGATTGTTTTATAATTTATAAATAATTTATTCTATACATATCAAGTGGTCTTAGACAGAGGCGTCTTTGCTATGTAATAAAAAAGGCTTTTGTCTCAGGTCCCAAAATATGTATAATTTTTTAGCTCCCAATTCTCAAAAAATCTGGTGTAGCATTTTGGTATTAGCTAACATATTATTCTATCATCCCAAGTTCGAATATCAAAGTTTTTTTTTTGGTAAAAAAAGTTGTTTTGTTTTATTGTTAACTTTCCAAAATAAAAAATGAAAGATCTCTTTCGTGATATCAAAATTTCTAAATAGAAAATGAATAAACAAATCTCAATTACTTTATACGTGATCATATAAATTTTTAAGTTTTATATTTTATTTCTCACGCATTATTTCATTATCTTTCTTCTTTGTTCCTTGCTATGCGGTTCTATTATCGAGTGTCTCTTTTTATTTAATCATCACCATCTCTTCTTGTATTAAGGTATATGTTTTTTCATGTATAAATCTCGTCATCAATTTGTTTTTGATTTTTTTTCTAGTGCTTTTAGTTAGGAATCTAGATTATAAAAATTTGATGAAAGAGTATTGAAAAAGAGGGGAGAAAGATTATTATGTCGTAGTTTTTATCTATTATTGTTTAAATATTTTATGTTGTTTTAACTTAAGCTTATATTTTTATCAAAAAAAGATGAAATTGGTTAAGAGGCCCCATTTTTGTATTTGCCTCAAACCCCAATAGACCTTCGCACGGCACTGGTCTTAGATCATACAGAAAAACATCTTAGGTAAAATCTAGAAACAAAATGACCGAGACTAACTAATTTAAGTGTCGTGATTTGGTTCTAGAAAAATTACAAACTTCAGCTTATAATTTTCCTACTTATCCTAAGGAAAGTACTAGGTGTTTGTGATGTCCTCTATGATCCTCGTATTTCACTTTATATACTCGGTAGGTTTCCTTTTACGTCTTCAAGTCAGACACAAACCTCAACCGACTTCTTCCTTCTTCCAGCTAGACCGAGTTCTGTTTATTTAGAGAACCTTGTCCGAGGCGAACCTAATGTTCTTCAACACAAGAAACCAAGCGAGGACAACATTACTGATAACACATAAGCAATATCAAATTAGTATTTTTTTTAACTAAGGTGAAAATTAAGGTTCTTCTACCTACAATAATAGAAACATTATCTTCTAATACATTACGATAACACACCAATAGTTCTCATAGTTTGGATAGATCTTTTTATTCATTTGCTATATTAAGTTTATCTCAAGTTAGCTTGAGTTAATTTCCATTGAACAATCTTGAACTGCAAAGCACAAATCAGATAGATAGTCGAGATCAACGGTGTAAATACAAGAACAAGGCACATATGTAAAACACAAAGTATACCAGAAAATATATATACAAAGATATGTGTATATACATACTAGTATGTGTCTCAAAAAAAAAAAATACATACTAGTATTCTTTTAAAGTGAACTTACAAGTCTCTTTAAACAGAATTCCAATAAAATCAAGATCCTCTTGACTTGATGCCCTAGCCTCATACGTCCTAATATCGAATACAAGATCTCTAGAATCTCTTCCCTTAAATCTTAGTGCTTTTACTCGCTTACAAGTTTATAAAACCCACTCATATGCTAAGAATATGATTATGGTGACAATCCTAATACATAGATCGTGTGTGACTTATATATATACATTATAGTCAAATCAGCTAACCTTTCCAAGTATTTATGAACTTCCCATCGTGAGATCTCCCTTCTTCAAGGTGAATCTCTTCTCTTCATGCTTGTCTTCCAAGCAGTCTTCGTATTAACTCCAACTTCCAAGTTATGCTTTAAGTCTTGATCTGCACTTCATCTTGTTTATCCGCATGCACACTTATTGTCGTAGACTCTACTCCATTCGTTGCTGTAACTTGCGTCTGTATCAGAACATCCACATGCATCTTTGCACCTTCAAACAGTTCACATCTTGACACAAATGCGCAACCATGTACTAACCATCGCTTTAATACATATGTCATTATTAAACCTTGAGGAAAGCAAGCTGGGATATAACTAAGCAAACCAACACCTCCACCGCAGAAATGCATACCAAGAAAGAAGGAATAAGGAACCAAAATTAGTCCCAAAACGAAATTAATTTCCATAATTAAGGGGACTCCGCAGACTATAATTATACATCCGATAGTTCACAACAATATGTAAAATGAAGCGGAGACGAACTATGACATCACCCACTTCAGAATCACCGTGAATGGATTTGGAATCATCAGAAACCACTCAGGTTATTCAGCCATCATTACACGCAAGAAAAAACGCGACTTTGAAACAAAATGGGACCTCTGCTCTAGGGAGACGTAGACAGAGGCCGGAGAGGGGCAGTCCCCATAGCCACACTCCTCCACTGCTATACGCAGCCATATATGTATGATGGAAACCAAATATGAGACCACCAATAAGCTTATCCAAATCTGCAAAAAAGAAGAAGGTAATGACGCAAAAAAGGAGAAGAAAAATGAAAGAGGGAAGAAAAAAAGGAAGATGAAGTATTTTAAAGGAGTGGTCTTGCGATTGTTAGTGGCGGCATGATAAAACGTTTATTTGTGTCATACAAACAGACAACATGATCGGTTTGGACTAATTGACTCTTATATATATATATATCATGAACTAAAAGAGGATTCTGTGCACCTTTATTTCAGACATAAAAATTCTCCTTTTGACCAATAATATTATTGTCCTACATCAATTTGATATTTATTGTAAGAAAAATTAGAGCATTTCCAACGGTATATTGTTTTTATTTTATAAACATGATTTATAGAGTAAATATGTCTTCAATAGTGTGCTATATATATCTTGCACTAAATATAGAGATGTTAGAGTAACACTATTTATTTTATTTTTTTGAGTAATTATTTTATATAAAATGATTCCTCACTTTTATATTTTCATTTTCACCTAAAAAAGTTAATTATTATGAATTTTTACATTTAAATATGTCTTTAGTATGTTGGTCGTTTTTCTTTATATGTTGCAATAAAACTTTAATTTTAAAATAATCATTTAGTTTTAATAATATCATAATAATTATGTTAGTTTATGTTACAAAACAAAACAAATGATTATACTTTTAACTTTTAAAAAGTTAGAGATTATGTATAATAAATAATAAATTAAACTTTGTCAAAAAAAAATTAAACTGAAAAGAAATACACTTAGAATATTCTTTTTAAGAGAAAAAATAGTAAAATAATTTGAGGAAAATTTTCTTATAATTTATTAAAAAATAAATGCACCATGAGAGATGATCATAAAATTGTTTTTTTCAAAAGATTGAATGAAGCCAAAACAAAGTTTTATTTATGTTGATCAGAAAATACAAAGGAGTTGCAAATAATGATAAACAACAGCAGATGAGAAAACAAATACTTTTTAGCTCTCTGCTGAATATTTTGGCACTAATTTATGAATAAGATACGACAAGCTTCAATCTTTAGATTTAGATTTCAGAACATTTAATTCATCTAAAAGTTATAGAATTCCATGTTCATATCCAATTAATAAGAATTAGGTCTCAGGCGTTGGAGGGAAATTGAGATCGAAATCCAAGGGCAGGCGTGATGGTCTCTCAGGACTACGATCCATCACCACAGACGACGCTTCCGACTCGCTCCTTGCCGACTCATCGATCATGATCATCCCGGACTTGACCTGAATCTTCGGGAAAGGGAACCTGGTTTCAAGATTGAGGCTGGTGATCATCGACGATGATACGCCGGTCCTGCTTTGGCTCGGACTCTCGTCGTAGACGAAGTTAGTATAAGTGAAATTGGTTTTGGCTTTTGCACCGCGAAAACAAAGAGCTGCTTTGTCGTAGGCACGAGCCGCTTCTTCGGGGGTGTCGAAAGTGCCGAGCCAGACTCGAACCTTCTTCACAGGATCTCTGATCTCGGCGGCGTAACGACCCCATGGCCTCTTTCTCACTCCTCTATAATGGTGTTTTTTCTCTTCACCGACGACGTTAGTTTCAACGGCCGCCGTTTTAACTGGCGGCGCCATTTAGACAAAACAAAAGGAACTGTTTTTTTTCTTCTAAAGTAAAGTACGAGAAGAGGTTGTGTTTGTGAAGTTTATGAGGAGTGTGTTCGTATTTATACAGACAAGCGATGAAGAGTCAACCGAGGTTTTGTCAGAAGGAGTGGCAGTGTTTCGTAAATATCCGTAGTTTCGTGGCACCTTGTTTTTGTCTCCACGACACAAACATGGAAAGTGTGAATGAAGATGCTTTTTTTTTTGTTGCTATTTACTGGTTTTTTTCTTGAATTCTTTTTAAAGTCATTTATCTATTTATTAATTATATTTAATAATTTATATGTTAATGTTTGATGCTTATAATGGCTTCTTCCAATAAATTTCGTGCGGTGGTTTGCATAAGTCAGAGCGGAGCCCACACGCTTACTTTGGTACGTGTCGTTTTGCTGCGGAGTAAATCACTACCTATATTTTTTTCCTCTATTGGTAACTGGTAAGCAAACTACAAATAGACACGACTGCTAAATCAAATATAGTCAAATTTATTTTAAATAGATATTATTTTATATTGGTTTGGTTTATTGAATTAAATCTAATGACATTTGTTACTCATAAATATTAATTATTAACTCTATATTTTTGAAGAAAAGTTACCATTAAATTAAATTTGTACACCCATTTCAAGTTTACTACATTGATGAAAAGTTGTAAGGTGAATTTCCTTTATAGATTATATTAATTTGTGTTTTGTTTAAAAATCTCCTTTTTGCAGAATTCTGGATTTAATACTGTAGTCTCCCTAAATATAAGACCATAGTATTGTTATCCACGATTTATAATGACATTATGTTTTTTAAGAAATTTTTTTTTGTATATAATAAATTTCTAAGTATATAATTTGCAATACATGAAATCAATTTCTTTTGGCAATAGCAATTTACATATTGCTTATCAACGTCCTCCAAATGTACAATTTACATATAATAATGTACTAATAGCGTATAATAATATGTGCTGAGCTGGTAAAACATTGAAGTGATTATTATAATGATTTAAATACCTTTAATCTTATAAAGAAAAATATACCTAAAGAAATGAATAAGATAGCAATTTACGAAATTTTCTCTCAATTTATTAATAAGAAACAATCATAAATTAATCAAATAAGCTACTAAACAGCAATATATTTGATAACTTATACAATATCAGAATAAAAATTAACATATTTGAAGAAAACTGATATATACAATTGTTCATCTTCTTATTCTTAATTATAATTAAGAAAACAAATCCTAATCTTCTTAATCCTTAATTGTACTCTTAATAGACCAGATGCAATGCAAGAAAATCTCAACTTTCTTACATTTATTTTTAGTTATTTGGAATACATAACAAAACTTTATAATTATTTTAACAAACTTCAAATAAAAACGACATACTTAGGTAATGCTAATGTTATGTTTAATAGTTTAACTATGCATCGTATCAATATTATATATTTTAAGCCCACCATAGTCTAGTCAATTAATAAGTTACATATCATTTTGGAATATTTTATGAATGGCTAGCTGTGGGTTTTGGATATAGTGTAAACTTATAAAATTGTGAAAATTCACAACTTCTTATGTTTGGATCAAAGTTACTGGTGGAGTTTTGACCCGTTATAGGTTTGATATTTGATAACGTCTCATGAGCATCAAGACCAATGATACTAAAACCCACTTTCGACTGTTGTGAATGTGGTGTGAAATTTTCTATGGCATCTTTGACGTCTATTTAAGATATAGATTTCTTTCATTATATACTTATTATATATATGATTACCAGATTTTACTCTCTTTTTTACAATACCATAGTTTACATTATTTAATTTAAAATATTCTTACACGTTTTATTTCTTTTACCAGGTTTAGTTTCACACTATACATCATTTATGTTCACAATTAAGTTAGAGTTAATATATATTTTTATGATTGATAGTTTCATCAGATAGTTGATCGGACACGTTCATTTAAAATATATTTTTTTTGGTCATCATTTAAAATATTATTATTCTTATTATTTGTTTTAAACAATTATTTTGTAAAAATCAAATTAATTAGGTACATAAATACATTAATCGTATAGCCTGATATTTTAAAATAATTAAACGCATATAGAAGGTTATTTTATAGGCAAAATTGTGAATGCTATTTTTGAATATTTTACTGTCAAGCTTCCAAATTTATTCTATTCTTTAATGTCAACAGCTAAAATGATGTTTAAAAAAAGAACCATATCTAATTTAGTTTTAGAATTCATAATATTTTTGACATGTGTTTGAATGATTTTAGCTCGAGATATGATCCGCGCCTAAGAGCACCCCCATTGAGAGTTCAAATGGGGGGTTCACACGGAAACCAAAAAATAAAATAATAAAATAACAAAAATCTATGAACCCCTCTCTCCTAAAGTTCACCCGGGTGAACCTCTCTCTCCTAAGGTTCACCACGTGTCGGCCCGGGATTGGTCTAGGTCTTTTTTTTCTTTTTTTTTATAAAAAAAAATTCATAAAGAAAATAGAAAAATTTTAATAATAAAAAATTGATTCAATGAACCTAAGAGGGGGTTCATTGATGTGGATGCTCTAATAAATGAGATCGGGTCAACGAGGGAGACATTTTGATCCAAATATCCAAAGTCTCATCCTTTGTTATTTTCTCTTATAATTCTAACTTGTTAAGATTCTTTGATCACAATGGAATGGTGATGTTTATTTCATGCATCACCTTACTCTAAAGTCTAAACCATTAACCTAATAAGGTTCTGACTATAAAGAAAACATTTAACGCGTATGACTTAAGTACAATTGCGATTCGGAATAGTACGTGGTCCAAATACTTTTTTTATAAATCGTGATAACGATGCGCCACCGTGTATGTTAAGGTGGGTCTGTGGATGAATAACTTTGAATTTTTAATATAATACAGCTAGGGTTTAAAAGTCTACCGAAATCGTTATATGAAAAGTGAGATCGTTTTAAGAAAAAATCAAAAAGTGAGATCGTTTCTCTACAGCTTTCCAATAAACAATCAATATACTTGGAAAATCAGTAGTATTAAAACATCTTAATCTTATTAAGTACGAATATGTTACCCTTGCTTGCGATCTAAGTAATACGTATGAAATGAGTCGAATCTAGAGATAAACTCTCATGTGACTAATTCATGTTTAAGTACTTAAATTCTCTTTCTTGACCTCTACTGTCTTTTTCCTAGGACATACGGACAGTACGAATATTGTATTCTAGACCATACAATATCGGTGACATGGTCAAGGCTCGTAATAAGCGCGATCTCGAAGATTCTAATCGATGACACCAATAAGTTGAATGTATTGGTGATACTCATTTCAATCTTTCCAAAAACGGTAGACCAGGGGCGGATCTAGAACTATTTTTTACCGGGGTCACAATATCATTTATATCTAAATTTATTTATAATCTCTAAGTTCTAATGAATCTTGTTATTTAGCTAATATAAATAAAAAAAATTATTATTTTTTTACCTTTTAGTTTTTTTTTTCTGTTGAATGCGTTATCTCCAATCTTCTTGTTTGTGTGCGTTGTTGTTATGTTGTGCTGGAGAATTTAATTTGTAAAAAGTAAGAACGACAAAACAAAACGTTCGTGGTATATTTAGTCAAAAAATTACTTTTTTATTAATTTTCTTTAGTTTATGAGTGAGATTTTCAAAAGATCATTTTATTTTCTATTTGGACTAGAATCGAAACAAGTATTGTTTGTAAGATTCGTTGGGAGCAATAACATGCATAAGGCATGATTGATGGACTCTTCCCTAGTATAAAAGTTGGCACTAAATGAACGTACGTATGTAATTGTACAAAGTTGTATTTTATATTTTTAGGCTAACGGAAACACACAGTTTAGTATTTGTCCATTTACATAATTATAATTAACAAAATATCCATATAACTTTTTTTTTTTAAAGTAGACGGTGTCACGTGACCCCGTAGTCGGCTACATACGTCCGCCCATGCGGTAGACTGCCATTGAAAAGTCAATTTCTGGGAACATGGTCGCTTACCGGGAAAGATCGAATCATGAGGTAGCGGACCGTGTCTGACCAGTCTCGGCGTCATGGTTATACACAAGAGCTTGCCAAAGAGTTCCACAGAAAAGGAAGGCAGAAAAAGATGATCACACGTCAAATTTCAAATACATGATGAGTTCTAAAAAAACGAACCCGGCTCCTTAGTTGGGTCCTTCGCAACTGTTGAGTTATGCGTTGAATATTTAGGTTTCAGCGTTGGTTGGGTCCTTCTCAACTGATGAGTTATGCGTGACTGAGTTCTGCTTTTTCAGAACAAAATAGAAAAAGAACGTGAAAACAAACCAAGCCCTAAGTCACTGTAAGATATGGGCACTTATCATACTAGCAGGCCTTGCTTTATTTACCTCAAAAGAATCCATATACGAAGAGTTAAATAACCGACGTGGTTTCGTTTCAAAGTTTATAAAGTATAAACAGCTATTGAATCATCAAAAGCCAACTCTTCAATACTTTATACATTTTATATAAAACAAATTAATTTCAGGATATACAAACAAAAATAAATATTAAAGAAGACATGTGCTGTAATCCTCTATCTAATCTGGTTTTTAATAGGCCAGGAAAAGTTAGAACATCATGCATATCCTGCGTACTCTTCATGATGATTCCTCATATTTCTAGCATGTGTATGTTTCTCATAACCAACCCTCGCTACTGTCATAATCTCGCCCGTCATGGCAAAACCCTCTATCTCTACTATAACAAGCCTCCATCTCAAGATTTAGAATCTTACTATAAGGTGACATCCAAGAGCTTTTTGCCAAAGTTGTATGGTGATTACAGGTTTTGGAACCCTAGCCCGATTACGGAGGAGGTTTTTCTTATTCCGGTCCAGTTCCACATGGCAGTTTAGGTCCGCAAACAGACACATAAGAAGCCAAAATGAACCTGGACGTTATAACTTGTGCTGGATATGTTCTTCATCTTTGCTACTCCGTGTAAAGCTTTTGATACATATGGTGCGTACTTATTTAAATAAGGTAGTGATAAGGCATGTATACTTAGGGCACCCTTATTTATGATATCTAAGAAAGTATTAGGATATTAAAAAAAAAAAAGAATGGAGAGAGAAGAAGGAAAAGATCTTGCAGGCGAACCTCAACAATAAAGAAGAAGACCCCTTTTTCATACGTGTAACTCTACAATTAGTCTACTGTGTTTTTCATGATTTAAAATTTAGTTAGTAATACAGTTATGGTTTCAACACCTTTTCCTTTTTCAACATCCTCATTTTCCTCTTTTTATATTCCACTTCATCTTCTCTTTCTCCCAGCTCATTTATTCAACACTCATTTCAATTTAAACCTCTACAATGGTTTGTTTTAAAAAAATTCAACACTTTACCTCACAACTCTTAATTCATATTATTTATTTTTCTTACAATATAATAATTACATATTAATAATTAAATTAAAAACTAAATAACATATAAATAGCGAGTGTACACTAGCGATTGTACACTAGTGCGTGTAAAGCCATTACAGAGTGTACACTAACGCGCATGTACAGCCAGTATTGAGTGTACACTTTCAACATCCACTTCATTTTTTACCTCTACAATAGTTTGTTTTAAAAAATTCAACACCCTATCCTACCATACAATTTTTAAATCATGTTTTTTATTTTTTGATTGTATATAACTTATAATACTAAATTTATTATTATTAAAAAAATTGAAATCAATTTTTAAAAGTTTAAAACATTATAATAGTTGATTATAATGAAAAAAATGAAAAAATGTTCTATATCCAAATGAAATGAGAGTAGTCTCTATCTATAGATCATAAATAAATATAAATTTTGATATAGTTTTAATTTTTTTAAAAAAAATTCTATTATAGAATAAATAAGTTTGAATTATTAGATGAAACTAAAAATCAGAAAAACATGTCCAATAATTACTTCCAATCCAATAACGCCATGTGTCAACGCTGTCCCACAAAAAAAAAATTCAGCTGTTGAAACTTATCAACGCATGTTGATGCCACATAGGTTTACTCAAAACTTCAACACCCTCGTTGAGAGAGGTTCAACAGTTGAAAACAAGTTTCAACACCTCCATTGTAGATAGTCTAATAATAAAACAATCAAATACTCTTTCCTAGATATTATCCATTGGTCATGCACTTACTGCATATGAATATTGTATTCATTTGTGTTTTGTAGTAGATATATCATATAATTCACAGTTTGTTCACTCTCTAGATAAACACATTATGTGTAAATATTATCTTAATAACATGCCATCACTTCAAATAAGTGGTAGTTGTGCTCAAGAACATTCCAATAATAATGGATTGCAAACGCTTCCTCTCTCTCAAAACCCTAGCTCTCCTGTTTGGGTGGCCAGCGGCGTATTTTTCTTTCGTAGATGCCAGTCGCCCCCTCCCATCTCTTTCGTTTTCCTTCTTTTTCGACTTTCCTCTCTCTCCTTCTCTCTGTTTCCTTTTCCGAAGCTCTGTTCTAGCGCCACCGTGCGGTGTAGATCTGGCACGTCAGACACGAATCTTCGGAGAAGCAAGGTGAAGGAGTAGATGTGGGGTTCCTTTGGTCAGGCGGAGGAGCAGTGGTTCAGATCTGGCGTCAGATCTGGATTTGTGGTGAGCTCTATCTTTTTCCCCTTCCTCCTCTGTTTGATCTTCTCGATAAGGGTGAGTTGTTTCGTTTGGCTGAAGGCGCTTAGGGTCCCCTAGACGATAGAGTTGCAGTGTTTCTTCCATCGTCTCATTAGTCTCCGACAGTGACCTTTCTTAGGCTGGTCAACCGTTCTTTAGGAGCTTCATGGTGTTGCTTTTGTTTCCAAACCGGTTTGGTCTGTTGCGGGTTTTCCGTAGTAGGGGCATGTCCGAGGAGGCGAGGAGTTGGTCTTGTCAACCACGACTAGCCTTTTTGGTGGCGGCGCATGTGGAGTCAACAAGGACTGAGGGTTGATAGCGTGTAGCGGCTCAGGGTTGCTCCTTCTCCAATAAAGCTCGACCTGTTTGGGGTGTGTTGCCTTGGTCTGGAGTGTAGTTGTATGTCCATGAAGTCTGCTGGTTGGGAGGGCTTAGCAAGCTGTTTTTGACAACCCGATCATAAATTACTGGTCACCGGGTACGCCAATTTCTACCGGCTCCACCTCTCTCTATAACTGTGGGTCGATTCTGTGGCAAGTGACTGTTCCTCTCCAATGTATCCACTATAAGAAAACACAAGATTAACGACAGCGAAATTCATAGTAATTTCGTCAAAAACTAGGCTTCACGACGAATTAGCGAGGAAACATGTTTCGTCGTTAATCGTCCGTCGTAACACATGTTTCCTCGCTAATTCGTCGTAAAATAACGAGGAAAATATTTCGTCGTAAAAAGGACGTAAAGCTTTCGTCGTAAAAACCACGTAATATATTCGTCGTAAATAACAAGTAAAGTGTTCCACTTAAAATACTCGTTAATCTTTACTCGTAATGTTAACGTAAAGTCATTCCTCGTTACTTCGTCGTAAACGTTCCACGTAAGGTACTCGTAATTTAGCTACGAATTTACTTCGATTTTTATTTTCCAGAATTAAAAAAATAAAAAAATAATTTAAAATAAAATATAATTTAAAATAAAAGTCAATACAAAAATATTTTATACATAAATAAGTTAAATTTATAATACAACCAATGAAAAGAAAAAAAAAATTAAGAGTCGTTCATCGCCTCCCAGTAGAATTCCTGACTCCTCCTCTCTAGATCATCCTCGTCATGTGTGCCGGATGACTTGCCTGAAATGGGATTTTGTCGTTGCATGTTCCTCAACAAGGACTCCCATTCCGGATTTGTGGCCGCTATAACGTCCAAGAAGCCCTCGAGTCCACCCATACGAGCTTTGAACGCACGTTGGGTCGAGTCCAACTCGTTACGCAGTTGAGTGACTTCATCTTCCCGACTCTGACCATAAAACGATGTCACTCTCGGAACCTGATTGACGGAACCAATTCCCAACGTACATCGATTTTTCTTAGAGACAGCCTTAAAATATATATATATATATTGTTAGTGAAAAATTAAAGTTAAAAATTAAATGAATAATAATTTGTTTTTAAAAAATTACCTCTTCGTAAATCATATCCACTTCAAGTGTGGATAAGGTGACGTGTGATCCATCGGTGGACTTATGTGTCAGTTGAGTCTGGCGCTCTTCAACCCGACCAACTAAGTCGTTGAAGAGATGCTCGGACCTAGCATCTAGAAATTGGCCTGCCTTGTTCTTGCGGGTCCTCTCGTAAAGATCCAAAAGAGACGGCAGAACTCCTGCCTCTTTGGCCTAAAAAGAATTTAAGAAAGTTAGAAATATATATATATATATATATATATATATATATATAGAAAAATAATTAAATTAGATATTTGATTACCATCTTCAGACGGACCCCGGCATGGGGTGTTTAACTCGAAGAGTGAAGCATCGGGCCGTTGCCGTCCTCATCTACCGTCAGACGGGAGCTAGAGAAAGATTCGGCGACTTTAATGGCGTCAGGATCCCGCCAATAACGGATGAGGCCATTCCACACCTCCGTGGTGAGCGCAGTGGGTTGCCACGATCCAATCACCCTTCCAGTTGCAAACTGTGTCCAACAAGCGCTTTTGGGCCTTCGAGTTAAACTGGTTCTTCACCTTCTCATTGACCTCTATGACCAATAGTATTTTTGCTAAAACAGAAAAAATTAAATTAAGAATTAGTTTAAAAAAATATAAATCATAAAAAAGTAAAATATATATAATTAATTAATAGTAACTTACAGCGAACAATTTGAACCACGTCTTTTTGAGTTCGGATGTGGACCGGGAAAGTAACCTTTGATCGTCTCGGTAACGCTCCAAGAAAGGCATCTGTCAACCCCAAACCTGAAAAAACAAATCTAAAATACAAATTATTTATTATTGTTAGAAAATAATTTAAAAAAAATTAAAAAGATGTAACGTACCACAAAGTTCCGTCCGGTCGGTCGGGGTCTATGACTGGTAAACCTTCTCTGCCTGGCTGAGCGAGAAGGTCCTCAACAGTGTACTGCGAGTAAGGAGCACTCGGCGGCACCAGCAAATCAGGATGAATCCCAGCCGGCATCGGAGGAGGCACATGAGGAGGCACCTATGGGATATGATCATGAGGAGCTGGTGGTGCAACGAATCGAGGAACCAATCGTGCACCAGAAGGAGGCGACCGCTAGACTCCCTGAAAAGACTGAGTCTCGGGGACAGTATCCGCCGGACCCAAAAAACAGGGAGCTGAAGAAGACGGGTCTAAACGACTACCAGGCTCACCGAACATCTCTCTGTAATGGGGAGTAAGTTTGTTCTTCCGAACCTGAAAAAAAAATTTAAAATTAAGCTCATTAGTAATTAACAAAGTATATAATTAACAAATTTTATAAATCTATCTAAATTTCCTACATTAACCACCTAATCAAGACTAGTTAACATAAAATCCGTAAACCTATCTAAATTCCCTACAGTAATCACCTAATCTATCCTAAACTAATCAAATTAAAGAGGAAATAGAGAGAACATACATTGCTTCGACCAAGAGAGGAAATGGAGACGAAATGGAAGTGATCTGATCCTGTGTTTTTCTCATTACGTGGATTTTACGATGAATTATGCTTACGTGGAATTAATGAGTCCTGTGTTCTTTATTTTTAATTTTCGTCGTAAGTTCCTCATTATATTACAAGGAAATAACGAGGATTATGTTAGATCCCCAAATCCGAAACCCCAAACTCAAAACCCCATCTTCCTTATCTTCTACCTCATATATTATATCTTCTACTTCAATCTCTTCTTTCCATTCCAAACCCCAAATTATAAAACCACAATTCCTTAACTTATAA